CTCTTCAGCTCATATGCAGCTCAAGGGACACCTAGAAACTCTTCGTCATCTCTAGACAATATCAGAGTACGAATAGAAGTTGTTGGACCTAGTTATGGTAGCAGATCGAAGTCGGGCATCGACATACTTGAGACTAGCGTCTCTGATAATTGCCCGTCGATTTCTGTGCCGAACAGCTCTGTAATTATAATATGCAGCTCGAATTTGCACAAAAACTATCATTATCTCCGAACAAATACCAGAGTTGACATTTGTTTCCTGATCCAGCTCTGGTAGCAGACCGAGTTCGCGCATCTAGATACTCGACACTAGCGCTTCTGCTGGTTTCCTTACGATTGTCGTGCCTCTGTAGCTCATCTGCAGCTCGAGTTACATCAAAAAACTCCTCATCCTTTCCAAGAAAATCAGCAGAGTACGAAGAGTGTTTCAGACCCAGCTCTTCTAGCAGACCGAGTTCGGACATCTGGACACTTCAGACTAACGCGCCTGATGATTCTAAATGGATTAGGTGCGCCTGCCAGCCCTGTAGCTCTCCTGAAGCTCGAGTTAAGGGAAGAAAACCGACAGCACCTGTCAAGATGACACTAAACAGCCAATCCCACCTGAATGCTTTTTGACAGTAATAGGTACCCGATCGACCAGAGATCAACATGGAGAGCGGGAATAAGATCGAATGTGGAGGGGAAATACTAGAGCTCTAACGAATGTTCAAATATCGAGAAATTCAAATTAAATGGGTCGAAGAAGGACAAAGCTTCCGTCGATATTGTTTGGCCAACTGGGAGCCGGCGGTAAGCCGTCAACCTTGGCTACCGCCGGGAACTCGTAGAGCTTCCTCGTGGAACGCGGGCGCGGCAATCTCGCATTCCGCGCGCGCGAGGGTCATGGAGGAGGACGTGGAGGAGAAGAAGGAGTGAGGAGAAGAAGGATGGAGAAGGCTGAGGACGAGAAGGAGGAGGGAAAAAGGAAGCAGGCGGAGGAGAAGGAGGGGACGAGGAAGAGGAGAATGACGAACAAGAGGGGGAAGGGTGGAGAGGGAGAGAGGAGGGACGATGATGACGATGGAGAGAAGAAAGAAGAGGATGTGGAAATGGAGAAGGAGCGGGAAGAGAAAGAGGAAGCAGATGAAGAAGGACGAGGAGGAGGAGAAGGAGGAGAAGGAAGAGGACGAGGAGAAGGAGTACGAATAGTTGTTTGGTTCCAGCTCTGGTTGCAGACCAGTTTCAAACATGTGGATACTTGCAACGAGCGCCCCCGATGATTCCTCGAATTGCTGTGCCGAACAGCTCTAACCTCATCTGCAGCTCGAGCTACATGAAGAAAGGCATCGTTATCTCTGAGAAAGAAAAGACAACAAAAAAAAAAAAAAAAAAAAAAAAAAAAAAAAAAAAAAAAAAAAAAAAAAAAAAACTTGAGTACGACTGTTGGCTCCAACTCTGGGAGCAAGCCGAGTTCGGGCATCTAGATACTTGAGACTAGCGCTCCCGGTGATCTCATTTCGATTGTTGTGCCTAACAGCTCTGCACTCATCTGCAGCTCGAGTTATCTCAAGAAAGTCATCATAACATTGTAAAAAATAGCAGCGTACGAATAGTTCCCAACCATCCTGTGGTGTTGGGTCCTCGTTTTGAAGAGACGTCGCCCCGCGTTCCTTCCTCCTCCTTCCCCCCCCTCCCCCCTCCTCCCCCTCCCACACCCATTCTGGCACACCCCTCACACGTTTCGTGGCCCCATAGGGAGCTCCACCGAAGGCCCCAGCGGCTGCGCCCGCATGCGGTTCCACCCCCCATTCTGGCACACCCCTCACACGTTTCGTGGCCCCATAGGGAGCTCCACCGAAGGCCCCAGTGGCTGCGCCCGCATGCGGTTCCACCCCCATTCTGGCACACCCCTCACACGTTTCGTGGCCCCATAGGGAGCTCCACCGAAGGCCCCAGTGGCTGCGCCCGCATGCGGTTCCACCCCCCATTCTGGCACACCCCTCACACGTTTCGTGGCCCCATAGGGAGCTCCACCGAAGGCCCCAGTGGCTGCGCCCGCATGCGGTTCCACCCCCCATTCTGGCACACCCCTCACACGTTTCGTGGCCCCATAGGGAGCTCCACCGAAGGCCCCAGTGGCTGCGCCCGCATGCGGTTCCACCCCCCATTCTGGCACACCCCTCACACGTTTCGTGGCCCCATAGGGAGCTCCACCGAAGGCCCCAGTGGCTGCGCCCGCATGCGGTTCCACCCCCCATTCTGGCACACCCCTCACACGTTTCGTGGCCCCATAGGGAGCTCCACCGAAGGCCCCAGTGGCTGCGCCCGCATGCGGTTCCACCCCCCATTCTGGCACACCCCTCACACGTTTCGTGGCCCCATAGGGAGCTCCACCGAAGGCCCCAGTGGCTGCGCCCGCATGCGGTTCCCCCCCCCCATTCTGGCACACCCCTCACACGTTTCGTGGCCCCATAGGGAGCTCCACCGAAGGCCCCAGTGGCTGCGCCCGCATGCGGTTCCACCCCCCATTCTGGCACACCCCTCACACGTTTCGTGGCCCCATAGGGAGCTCCACCGAAGGCCCCAGTGGCTGCGCCCGCATGCGGTTCCACCCCCCATTCTGGCACACCCCTCACACGTTTCGTGGCCCCATAGGGAGCTCCACCGAAGGCCCCAGTGGCTGCGCCCGCATGCGGTTCCACCCCCCATTCTGGCACACCCCTCACACGTTTCGTGGCCCCATAGGGAGCTCCACCGAAGGCCCCAGTGGCTGCGCCCGCATGCGGTTCCACCCCCCATTCTGGCACACCCCTCACACGTTTCGTGGCCCCATAGGGAGCTCCACCGAAGGCCCCAGTGGCTGCGCCCGCATGCGGTTCCACCCCCCATTCTGGCACACCCCTCACACGTTTCGTGGCCCCATAGGGAGCTCCACCGAAGGCCCCAGTGGCTGCGCCCGCATGCGGTTCCACCCCCCATTCTGGCACACCCCTCACACGTTTCGTGGCCCCATAGGGAGCTCCACCGAAGGCCCCAGTGGCTGCGCCCGCATGCGGTCCCACCCCCCCATTTCGACACACCCCTCACACGCTTCGTGGGTGGCTCCATGGGGAGCTCCACCGAACGCCCCAGTGGCTGCGCTCGCATGTGGTTCCCCCCCTTCCCACCCCATTTCGGCACACCCCTCACACGCTTCGTGGCCCCATAGAGAGCTCCACCGAAGGCCCCAGTGGCTGCGCTCGCATGCGGTTCCACCCCCTTTTGCGGCACGCCCTTCACACGTCTCGTGGCCCCATAGGGAGCTCCACCGAACGCCGCAGTGGCTGCGCTCGCATGCGGTTCCACCCCCCATTTCGGCACACCCCTCACACGTTTCGTGGCTCCATAGGGAGCTCCACCGAAGGTCTCAGTGGCTCCCCGTTCTGGCACACCCCTCGCACGCTTCGTGGCCCCATAGGGGGCTCCACCAAAGGTCCCAGTGGCACTGCCCGCTTGCGTCCACCACCACCCAGCACAGCCCTTGTTCCCTGCGCTTGCCCCACCCAGAACAGCGCTTCGTAGCCCTATAGGGAGCTCCACCAAAGGTCCCAGCGGCACCGCCCGCATGCGTCCACCACCACCCTGCACAGCCCTTGCTCCCTGCCTGCGTTTCACCCACCCAGTACAGCGTTTCGTGGCCCCATAGGGAGCCCCACCGAAGGTCCCAGTGGCACCGCTCAAAGCGTCCGCCACCACGCAGCACAGCCCTTGCTGACCTCGTCTCACCCACCCAGTACAGCGCTTCGTGGCCCCATAGGGAGCTCCACCGAAGGTCCCAGTGGCACCGCCCGCATGCGTCCGCCATCACCCAGCACAATTGCGGCATTCACAACTGCATATGGTTGGGTCCTTCGCCAGGCTAATTTTTCTAATGCAGCACTGGTAGCAGACGAGTTCGGGCATCTAGATGCTCGAGACTAGCGCGTCTGATCATTTTCTTTCGATTGCTGTGCCAGACAGCTCTGCGCATCATCTGCAGCTCGAGTTGCATCCATAAACTCATCACTATCTCTGAAAATTAGCAGAGTACGAATAGTTGTTCGGAGCCAGCTCTGGTAGCAGACCGAGTTCGGACATCTGGATCCTTCAGATTAGCGCTCCTGATGATTATATGTCGATTGATTTGCCAACCCGCTCTGTAGCCCATCTGCAGCTCGAGCTACATCAAGAAACGCATCATCATCTCTGGAAAAAATAGCAGAGTACGAATAGGTTTTCGGACCCAGCTCTGGCAGCAGACTGAGTTCGGACATCTAGATACTTGAGACTAACGCGCCTGAACATCCTAGATCGATTAGGTGTGCCTGCCAGCTCGCTTTTCTACAACTCAAATTAAGTTCAGAGAACCGACAGCATCTGTCAAGATCACACTGAACAGCCGATCCCGCCTGGATGCTTTTTGGCAGTGATATGTACCCGATCGACCTGAGATTAAGATGGCGAACGGGAATAAGATCGAATATGAGAAGAAAAAATACTAGAGCCCTAACAAATGGTCAAATTTCGAGACATCGAATTTAAACCGACCAAAATTATGCAAAACTTCCGTCGAGATTTTTGAGTACAGGCCCGCTCGGGTCACAGCCTAACGCAGATGGTGCGAAACAGGCCAAGCGCCTGAAGGACCGCCGCCACACCTTTCAGGAGGTGCTTTGCAGCAAGAAGTTCAGCCTGGGTCACTGTACACGAGGGCGGAAGACGGAAGGCTTCTGGGGCAACACTGCACCACCAGAAACCGTTCGGAGATGCGGGGCCATCCAGATGACTAAGATGAAAAGGAAGCGTTGGAAGAATGCACAGATCGAGAACCGAGCCGCCGCCGCAACCACCAGAGGAAGGGCCTCCATCAAAGAAGCCTCGCACTCCGAGAACATTCGAAGCATTCATCGTTGATAAAATGTAGCTGGGGTTGCCCGCGCTGCCCCGAAACCAGCGCCACCGACGTCGCGCCAGTGAACAGGCAGGCAATGGCATGAGACTAAAATCAACCTACGAGTGCACACATACCTGTGCAAAATAACACTGCACATGTCTCTCATAAGCCCTGCAAGCGGGGAGCGAAGGAAAGCCGGCGGGAGAGCGGGGGGGCCCAAAGAGACACAGTGAGCCCAGGGGCAAAAGCAGCGAGGGGGAAAGAGGAGCGAAGAACAGCAGGGACTCAATCACAAGCATACTCATAAAACGCCGCCGAACAATGACCGACCACTTTGGACTGAAAGTGGTCGGTTTTCCTTTTCTCTCTCACTCTCCGTTCCCATCGAAGCAGTCGACACACTCTGTAGCCGCACTCATGGAACTGTGGGGCAACACCGTGCGACCTGACGCCGTACTCACAGCGCCCATCACAGACCACAGGGCACGAAGTCGGGTTACAACACGGAGTGCCACACCGGCCCCACGATATCCAAGAGAGCTTGAACAAGTACGGAGGCCTTACGCCGATGGGCAATATCGACTCGCTCCTCAGTGGAAATGTGATGTAGGCATTGGCACATGTCAGGGAAGTGACCATACACCAGGGGTTCCGCCCAGGCTTGCAAGAAAGCACCCCGCTCCTATGCCACTCTCCTAAAAAGTCAACAACCCAAATTCTCTGTGCATTCACGGACTCCTCATCACTCGAGTCGTCATCGTCTTCTTTCGGAAACAAGCCCAAGTATGCACGCAGCACGCTTGAGTCCACATACGGCCGCGGCAGGAGAGAATGAACCACATGATCCGCCGTGGATGCAAGCACTGGCGGGGTCTCCGCAACAGGCACCTCTCGTCGGAAACACTACGATTTGATACGCATGGCTCGGGGGTCACTCGCAAAGAGCAGGAGGATGGACCGAGCAACTCGCGTCCGAAGCGGGTACAGCGGGAACGGCATCAGGGGTGGGATCGGCACCGCTCGCTCTAGCACCTTCCGCCGCCACAGCAGCACCATTCTCATGCACACTGGAGAAGACGGTGAAGGCATCGTAGCGCCCATTGTCGCAAAATTGACTGAGGCGCTCGCATCCGACTAAGGCATCGGGAACGACGTCCGGTACAGGCTCAACAAAAGTCACTCGAGCATCCTCCACCTCCACAGCAATTCCACTCTAAGACACATTCGGAAATGATGAGAAGTCGCCGTAGCGCCCGTTGCCGCCAGCTGGGCCGAGGCACTCGCATCTGAAACTGATACATCGGGAACGGCATCAGGGACGGGATCAACAATGGCCACTCGAGCATCCTCCACCACGGCAACATCACTCTCAAGCACATTCGGAAAATAATGGGAAATCGTAGCAACGCCCGCTGTCGATGCAGGAGAAACATACATCGGGGAAGAAGGCCCCACACCTGGTGTCGAAGAAGCTCGCACGCCTCCACGGAGCCGCCCCAGCAGGGCCGCGGTTACGACAGTAACGAAGTGCGACGATACCGGCACTACAGAGGCCAGTAAAATCCCCCACCTGACACGACGAAGACGTGGAACACAACCAGAAACGGCGCTTCACCTGTCCTGCACTGAACGACGCCGCTGCGAGGGCGGCGGGCCTCCCCATCTGCTCACATGTCAGGGTCCCAACACGAGCATACAGGTCATTCACACACACTTCGAGCACAGACAAACGTGAAGAGACAAAATCAGATGCCATGCAATCCGTGCGCTCTGAAACAAAATCAGAAGTTACGAAATGGAAACAGAAAGCATAGGATTCGTACTCGTAGGGTTCAACGAAACGGATGCTCAAGCCACAGGATTCATACTCAATGCGGACCAGAACAACAACGAGGCAAGCCACAGCAAAAAACGCCTCCGCGAGATGTGGCAGCAGCTGCACTGTAAACTGGCCCGATCCAGCAAACAAACCACACAAGCACACGCAGGCACCTGCTCACCGGAAGAGCAAGCGGGTGTCAGAACTCGTAGAGCTTCCTGACGGAGACGTCGCAGGACTCGTCCGAGAAGCGGCCGCTATCGCGAAGGATACCGAGGCCCGAGGAGAAGGGGGAAAGACGGGCGGCCGAGGGCGGGGGAGCGCGGCGGGGGGGGCAAGAAGGAGTTCCCGACGGCACCAGACCAAAGTTGGTTTTTGAGTTTGAGTCAGGCCGCGGACAGCTGTGCCAGCTGAACCGTACCCAAACGGAGCACAGGGTAGCAAGTGCGAGCATCTCTCTCATCATACTGCCGAGCCACGGAGGCATAGGGATCGGAAAAGGATACAGCAAGAAAGAAAGAAGCATCTCTTATCCACACTGCCGAGCCACGGAGGCGTAGGCATTGGAATAAGATGCACTATTATTAGAGTGAAGAAACAAATCCCAGCAAAGATGCTGCTTTGATGAAAGAGGCTACCCAAAACGTGTTCCACGGCCATACAGAGCCGTTGTGCTGTAATCATCTCACAGAACTGGGAACCGGCGGTTCACTGTCAACCAGCTTACCCCCGGACACCTCGTAGAGCTCTTTTCTGGCACACGCTCCTCGAAACACATGAAGAAATCTTCTGAAGCGAGAGCCAAACTCGAAACATCACGATTTTTGGGTTTTCATCCAAAAGCGGTTCCGCCAAGTGTTTTGATAGCAATACGGCACCTACGGACCTGAGAATTTAACTGGCAGACGCGGCATAACCCACTACAATTAGACGCAGGGGCTCTCATAGTCGTCTACAGGTGCGAAAAATCTGGTTTCTTAAAATGAATGGTCAAACATCTTTCAAATCTTAGCAAAACCGACCGAAAGACCACATCTTCTTTTCTGGCCGGGTCGATCAACTGGAAACCGGCGGTGAACCGTCAACCAGGACCGCCGGGGCCCTCGTAGAGCTCCTCTCTCACACGGCGCTCCTCGGTAGAAAGCGTCTGGAGCAAGACCTGAAAAACTCGAAAAATCAAGTTTTTCTGTTTTTATACAACGTCGGTTCCCCAAGTGTTCTGATAATAATACTGCAGCTGCGAACCTGAGAATTTCACTGGCAGACGCGACATAAATCTTTGGAATCTTAGCAAAACCAACCCAAAGTTGTCACATTGTCCTTTCTGGCCGGGTCGACCAACTAGCTCCACCCCGCGCCTGAATTCCTCTATCTCATCGATGTCCAAGAGCTCTACGAGGTGTAATGGTCAAATATCTCTCAAATCTCAGCAATGGTGGGGCCAAAACTCGGAGAGACCGGAGAGCGACTTGGCAGCGTCCAAAACCCGGAGAGACCGGAGAGCGAAAGCAACACACAACACTTGGAAGCGCCCACTTGGCAGCGTCCGAAACCCAGAGAGCAAAGGGCACACACACCAGAAAGCTTCCTGGCGAGCCCTCAAACGCTTTCGTAAAGCGAGCTCCCCTGCAGCGCTGCTGAAGCGCCGCCAGAAACGCTTCCATGCGCGCCTGCACGCGCGCAGGCACGCGTGGAAGCTTGCCGGAAGCTTTCCCGGACACGTTGCCGGCCCAGGCGAGGCGCTGCGGGGAATGTGGACCGCCGTGGAGGAGCTCCTGGCGGGCACAACCACCGCCCGGCTTCCAATCTTAAACCCTCTAGCTCTCAGCGAGATCTCCGGGAAAAACCCGGATCGCAAAGCCGCACGCGCAAAGAAGCAGCAAAACGCAGGCAGACACGCGCGCACACACACACACACACACACACACACACGCACACACACACAGACCAGCACGCACACACACACACACACACACACACACACACACACACACGCACACACACACACACTGGCGCCGGCGGTGAACCGTCAACCTAATCACCGCCCGAAACCTCGTACAGCTCCTTCCACGCATCAGTGCTCAGAGTCGGAAGATAGAGCTTCTGGAGGCATGTCTCGAAAAAATCAATATTCTTTTTTTCATGTCGAGAAGAAGTTGGTTCCCCCGAGTGTTTCGATAGTAAAAGTGCGCCTACAGAGCTCATGTCAAGATACAGAGGCCCTTATAGTCGTCTACAGGTGCGAAAAATCTGGTTTCTCAAAATGAATGGTCAAATATGTTTCAAATATTCGCAACTGGTCGGATCGACCAACTAGCTCCACTCCGCGCCGGAATTCCTCTAGCTCATCGACTGGGAACCGGCGGTAAACCGTCAACCAGGTTTTCGAGTTTGAGTCAGGGCGCGGACAGCTGTGACAGCTGAGCCCTAAGACTCCCAAACGGAGCACAGGGTAGCTAGAGAAGGCATCTCTTATCATCACACTGCCGAGCCACTGAGGCATAGGCATCGGAATAGGATGCAGGAACAAGGAAAAGGATGCAGCACGACATGTGAAATTGCAAAGGTGTAGGACAGGTTAGAGAAGAAAGAGGCTACCCAAAACGTGTTCCGCCGGGCACCTCGCAGAGCTCTTTTCTCACACGGCGCTCCTCGGTAGACATGAAGAAAGCGTCTGGAGCAAGACCTGAACAACTCGAAAAATCATGTTTTTCTGTTTTTATCCAACGTCGGCTCCCCCAAGTGTTTTGATAGTAATACTGCAGCTACGGACCTGAGAATTTCACTGGCAGACGCGGCATAACCCACTACAGGTGCGAAAAATCTGTTTTCTTAAAATAAATAGTCAAATGTCTTTCAAATCTTAGCAAAACCGACCCAAAGTTATCACATTGTCCTTTCTGGCCCGGTCGATCAACTGGGCGCCGGCGGTAAACCGTCAACCTTTCTCACCGCCGGGGGACTCGCAGAGCTTCCTGACAATATTTTATGTCCAAAGAAACAGCAGAGAACGAATAGTTTTTAATTCACCATCATTTGCAAAAAAATTGTCGGTCGAATACAAATAGTTTTGTGAACCTAGCTCGGGTAGCAGACCGAGTTCAGACCTATCGGTGCAACAGACGAACGCTATGCTTATGTATCGGGTTCTCTGCGTACCAGCTCTCTAGCTGCCCTACAGCCCCAATTCGATACAGAAAATGGACAACATCTGTCAAGATGACCCAGTTCAGACCCCTGGATGCAACAGACAAACGGGCCTGATGATTCCAAATCAGGTTCCCTGCGCATGAGCTCTGTAGCTCTCCCACAGCCCGAGTTACGTGCGAAAACGGACAGCACCTCTCAAGATGACTCGAACGATACGAATAGTTTCGCGGACCTAGCTCGAGTAGTAGACCGAGTGCAGAGCTCTTGATGCAACAGACAAACGCGCCTGATTATTTGCCATCTCGAGCTCGAGTTCAGTACAAAAACCAACAATCCCTCTCGAGATGATCCGAGCGATACGAATAGCTTTGTGGACCTAGCTCGAGTAGCAGACCGATTTCAAACCTCTGCATGCAACAGACAGGCGCGCCTGATGTCGCCAAATCCGTGACTGCAATTACCAGCCCTGTAGCTCCCATACAGACCGAGTTAAGTACAGAAAACCGACAGCAGTTTTCAAGATGACTCGAACAATACGAATAGTTTCGCGGACCTAGCTCGGGCAGCAGACCGAGTTCAGACCTCTAGATGCAACTGACGAACGCGCCTGATGACTCTGAATCGATTTCTGTGAGTATGAGCTCTGTAGCTGCCCTGCAGCTCGTGTTGAGTACAAAATACCGACAACCCGTATCAAGATGACTCGAAACAGCCGATCCCGCCCGTGTGCTTTTTGGCAGTAAAAGGTACCCGATCGAGCTGAGATTAAGACGGCGAGCGGGAATAAGATCGAATATCACGGGAAAAAATACTAGAGCTCTAACGAATGGTTGAATTTTGAGAACAAAATTTTCAACCGACCAAAAGTCACCAAAACGTCCGTCGAGATTTTTCTTGCCAACTGGCTGTCCAGCGCCCCGAAATTACTCTTAAGCTTCCAGCAACAACTTGCTAAGGGAAGCTCTACGAGTTACTGGGAGCCGGCGGTAAACCGTCAACCAGGTTTTTTTTTGCGGACTTTGCGGTCGACTGCGCAGGCTTTCCAGCCTAGTCGGAGCAAGGAGCGGACGCATCCAAACAGGCAAGGCGTGAGTGAGCACAAACTCTTATTCACATCAAACCAGTCCGAAATACGCATGTTCAACCCGCCGTATGACAAGAGGCGCATGCTCAACGTCACATGTGAAGTAATCAACGAATTAGACGGGGAAACAACCCGTGGAAGAACGTCACCTGAAGAATATGAGGGGCACCTGCCCTTTACACACCTGAAGCGCTTAGTGGGGCCCACAGCGGGCCGTAGAGCCATCATGGCTCCAGCGAGAGGTCAAACAGAGAGATGAAGTGAGGAAAACAAGAACAGGTGAGTTACAAGAATTACAGCCTTCGCTGTTCTAAACCGAAAGTTGCATACAAGTGCGCACGAATAGCTTCATCCCAACTTGTCGAAACTCCTCGGGCGTCCAAAGAATATTGTTCGGTAATCGCTGCACTTGGAAACCTCAAGGAACTTGGCCATCTCGGCGCGGTTCATTTGTCCTGTCAAGAACCTGTGCACCTCGAAGAATCCTAGAAGATCCTCCAGCGTCGCTTGCACATTCTGGAGCATCTCATACAGTTTCCGAGCATAATCTTTTTGGGCCTTCTTTGTAGGGAACCCACGTTCTGTCACCAGCTTATCAAACAAATCCATTCCGTTCTTTAAATACTGGATCGCATTCAACTCGTTGATGCTGGCAACAGCGTCAATCCACGCTTTGACATCGGCAATGGTGGCCTGAGAGCACGTCGATGTCCCCTTGACCTTGTCACGATCTCTCCCTCGAGTCCTCTGGCGCGACTCCTTCGATACCTCATTGAGCGTGACGGGGCGATTCAGACACCCCTGGGACGCTCCTGACAAGGCGCGGCTATCAGAATCAGACTGCACGTTCGGAGAAGACTCCGCACTCGAGGGTGCCTCCAGCTCCTCCTCCGCCGCCACAGTCACTTTCCCAAGAAGAACTCCTGAAGCTCCTCCCTCCATCCCAACGACACTATCTGTCTGACAGCCGACTTCACAATGAAAGTCCGCAACATCAACCGTCTGCACTCCAACATCAACCAGCGATTCAGAAGCCTGCACTCCAATATCTACATCAACCAGCGATTCAGAAGCCTGCAAACGGCAAGAAAGATTATCCGAAACAGTCGCAATGTCAGCCTCCCCCTCCTCCTCCAAACTGCGTTTAACAACAGGTGCATCGCGCAACAAGAGATAATCTAGAACCAAATCGGCAGTCGCCCGCTCCAGCCCTGGTGGTGGGAGACACGTAGGTGGCACCAAACCATCCAGAGGCAAACGAATAGGTAAATGCACACAGTATCCGTTTTGAACAGCCAGCGCCCGACGCATAATGCGAGCACTTGCACTCCGTACGTGTGGCATAACGAAAGATTGCAGAGACTGCCTCGGAAGCACCCAGCAAAACAAATCAATTGAAGACAACTCAAGGCGATCAAACGTGTCAAATGAATGACAGCGCAATATCACTCTAGGCGACAAACGTGTGAAACAAATCAATTGAAGACCACTCAAGGCGATCAAACGTGTCAAATGAGTGGCAGTGCAATATCACTCTAGGCGACAAACGTGTGACTCCCTGACGCGCACTCGATCCCACTGGAGGTTACCCAGGCAGAGGGGATCAAATGTCAAGCGCCTTGAGCCTTGAGCCGGGAACCAGGTTACCGCCGGGAGCCTCGTAGAGCTCTTCCCTCGCACGGCGCCGTTCGTTACACGCGGGGGGATCTTCCTCACACGTGAGCTGAAAACTCGAGAAAAAAACGCTTAAAGTTTTTATCCAAAGACGGTTCCTTCAAGTGCTTTGACAATAATACTGTAGCTACGGACCTGAAAATTTTACTGGCGGACGCGGCATAACCCACTACAGGTGCGAAAAATACCGGCTCTCGAAACAAATGTTCAAATCTTTCAGAAAGTTCGTCCAAACGACGCAAAGTTCACACATTGTCCGCCCGGGCCGGGTGGGTCAATAGCTGCACCCCGCGCCGGAATTCCTCCAGCTCATCGGTGCCGAAGAGCTCCACGAGACACTGGCGCCGGCGGTGAACCGTCAACCTGGCCCCCGCCGGAAATCTCGTGGAGCTCCGTGCACGCGAACTTCGCAGCAGAGTTTCTCATAAATCTTTATTTTTATTTTTCCATTTGAATTTGACGTCAGGTTTTGGCTTCGCTCGGGAGAATTTGTCGACGCAATGAGCTAAGAATTTGAAAGATAACTTCTATAATGCAAAGCTTTGATCTGCATAATTATCAGCTCAAACGAATGATTAGAACTGCGAAATCGGCTGAGCCAGGCCGCAGAAGGTATGATTGCGTCCCTTTTCGAAATTTCGTCAACTAGCTCAAGCCTGTTTCCGAATTGCTCTAGCTCTGTTACCATCAGAGCTCTACGAAGTATTCCGAAGAGCTCCACGAGGTACTAGCTCCGCGCCGCGTCGGAATTCCTCCAGCTCATCGATGACGAAGAGCTCTACGACGTACGAAGAGCTCTACGAGGTAAATGACGGAAGCAGAGGTATCGAGCGAGAAAGCTTCCTCCACCACCAGCTGCCACGCACCGGGCACACACAAATCCACACACGATCCTGCAGCACATCCCTCCACATAGCGACCTCCGTCGAAGAATCCACGGAGGCCGTCTAGTTCTGTTCTACTCGCATGTTCAATAAGAGCGGTATGGAACGTAACGTAACTGTTTCTGGTTCTAGCCAACCATGTCAGCCTGTCATCTCTTTCATTTCCTTCTCGATAGACCCACCTGATCAGATTGTGGCTTACAGCTCTACGAGGTATCAGAAGCCGCCAGCAGCCCGCCTCCGCCTCCCCACGATCCTCGCAGCGCCTCGTCCGAGCCGGCAGCGGGCCCGCAGCAATGCAGGATCGCTTGAGAAGGGTTTGACAGAGCTCTGCAGGCGTCCCAGGAGGGTTTGACAGAGCATTGCAGGAAGGCACGCGTCCACGCGGTGCCTGCACGCGTGCAGGCACACATGGGGGCGTGCCTGGCAGTGCTTTCGAAGCGCTTCAGGGGGGCCCCAGGGAGCTCTCTAGAAAAGATTTCCTCTCCCGAAAGATCTCCTCGCTCTCCAAGTTTTGGACGCTACCAAGTGGACGCTACCAAGTACCTCGTAGAGCTCTTCGTTATCGATGAGCTAGAGGAATTCCGGCGCGGGGTGGAGCTTGAACCTCGTAGCGCTCTTCGGCACCGATGAGCTGGAGGAATTCCGGCGCGGGGCTCGTAGAGCTTCCCTTAGCTAGTTGCTGGAAGCTTAAGAGTACCTCGTAGAGCTCTTCGGCATGGATGAGCTGGGAATTCCGGCGCGGGATGCAGCTAGTACCTCTTAGAGCTCTGACGGTCACATAGCTAGAGGAGTTTTAGCCACGACTTGCTTCCTCAGATCACGACTTCGAATTCGGAAGTTCTCGCTTTGCACGAATGCCAATTCCTTGGAATAGGTAGGTGCTCTCAACATGGTTCCACTTCAACTCTTTCAAATGATGGGAAGGCGGGGCTTCTCTACAAGAGGGTGTGGAGAGCCTCCATATGTGAATGCGTCAGGGGTACTCGAAATGTCATTATCGTGTTTCAGTCGTTGATTGTTGCCAGCTTGTACTTACCACATGCGCCGAAAAAAAGTGGATCACAACATCTTGCTCACACAAACTCTGTTGCTTCGAAAAGATTTGGACGCACTCCAAGCCAGGTTTGCCAAGGAGAGGTGGGACTTGTTGGTTGGGATGGAGGCCAACGTTGAGCTTCTGCCAAACACGGTCTTTGGAGATGTTTCTCTGACTTGTTTTGCTGTTCAGGGTGAGAGAGTTCAAGAAGAGCACAATGCAGGAGAAGGTGGACGTGGAGGTTTTCGGCAGGGTAGGAGGAAGATGCAACAGCACATGTGCGACAAGCTCTGTGAATGTATTTGGTACTAAGATTTGGTTTTCTCAAACTCCTTTGGGACTGGGCGCCGGCGGTAAACCGTCAACCTTTCTTACCGCCGGAGGACTCGTAGAGCTTCCTGAGAATATATAATGTCGAAAAACATTGCAGGGAACGAATAGTTCTTCAGCCCAAGCGATTTCACACCTCTCGATGCAACAGCCGAACGCCCCCCATGCTTCTGGATTGTCTTCTGCACGAGCTCTGTAGCTCTCCTACAGCCCGAGCTGCTTGCGTAAATCGATGGCACCTCTCAAGATGACTTGAAGAAAACAAATAGTTTGGCAAACCCAGCTAGCAGACCGAGTTCAGACCTCTAGATGCAACAGACGGACGCGCCTGATCATTCTGAATCGATAAGGTGTGCTTACCAGCTGTGTAGTTGTCCTGTATCTCGAGTTAAGTCCAATACACTGACAGCGCGTATCAAGATGACTCGAAACGGCCGATCCCGCCCGTGTGCTTTTTGGCAGTGAAAGGTACCCGATCGAGCTGAGATCAGGATGGCAAGCGGTAATAAGATCGAATATCACGGGAAAAATACTAGAGCTGTAACGAATGGTTGAATTTCGAAAACAAAATTTTCAACCGACCAAAAGTCAGCAAAAGGTCCGTCGAGATTTTTCTTGCCAACTGGCGCCGGCGGTGAACCGCAACCCGGTCACCGCCGGGAACCTCGTAGAGCTCCTTGCACGCGTGAGATTGCTGAGAATCGAAAGAGAGAGCTTCTCGAATCATTTCTCAAAAAAAAAAAAAAAAAAAAAAAAAAAAAAAAAATCATGTTGGCGCTAAGTTGGTTGCGCCAAGTGTTTTGATAGTAAAAGTGTGCCTACAGAGCTCATATTAAGACGCAGAGGCTCTCATAGTCGTCTACAGGTGCGAAAAATCTGCTTTCTTAAAATGAATTGACAAATATCTTTCAAATCTCAGCAAAACCGACCCAAAGTTATCACATCTTCTTTTCTGGCCGGGTCGACCAACTAGCTCCACCCCGCGCCGGAATTCCTCTAGCTCATCGACAACGAAGAGCTCTGCGAGACACTAGCTCTCCAGCGCCCGGAATTACTCTTAAGCTTCCAGCAACTGGCGCCGGCGGTGAACCGTCAACCTGGTCACCGCCGGGAACCTCGTAGAGCTCCTTGCATCCGTAAGAAAGCTCAGGATCGAAGCGGAGAGCATCTTGGAGCTTTTCTAGAAAAACGTCAAATTGAGATTTTCGGAGTGAAGATAAAGTCGGTTCCGGGAAGTCAACTCATACTGAAACTGGCTCTACAGAGCTGAGCTGCTAGGGAACAAAGTTTATATGCCAATGCTCGGCGTAAAAATCTGCTTTCTTAAAATGAATTGTCAAATATCTTTCAAATCTAAGCGAAACCGACCCACAGTCACCACTTTGTCCCTTCTGGTCGGGTCGACCAACTAGCTCCACCCCGCGCCGGAATTCCTCTAGCTCATCGACTGGCGCCGGCGGTGAACCGTCAACCTGGTCTGCGGTCTGCGGGGCCCGATTCGAGCCCCCTTAGGGGGCAGGGCCAGCGGTAGGATTACCTACAGGCAACCTAAGCACTAACAGCGGAGCTGTGCGATATACAAGTCAGCGTAGCTGTGCATATATGATACAACAGCGTAGCTGCACAGGAATATACACACATCAAGAAACAGTGGGGCTAAGCATGTATCTTACAACAGCGGAGCTATGCAGATATTATACACAAACAGTCACCTGCCAAGTTGTACGTGTATACACATCTCGGCAATGCCATTGAGAAGAGAATGTGCAGCTGCCAACTCAGCCTGTGTGATCGTGCAATGGCTAGGGATCATGAAACCTCTGCGGCCAACTCCAGGGTGCCATCCACCCTGCACAAGTCCAGGGGGAAGCTGGTGAGGAGGAAGAGAGGGAACAAGATAAACATCAATAACCCAGCCACACGAGGTGCCACGCTCACACCGCCCACCGTCAAAAGCTCCTCTAAGTGCACGAACAATATAATGACCCGATCTAATATGATAAAGAGTGTTATGATTCCAACGAACATCAGAAGTTACTTTACCCTCACGTGCAAGATGTGTCTCATAGTCCGCCTCATCGTTGCCCTCCCTATACACCCATTTCCACATATCCCTTCCCACTTCAGCCGTGACAAGATGATGGTCCTCACTCATTCTGTGGAGGCGGTTCTGCATACCCTTGATCGTGCGGCGGTATACTTCATTATGACAGCGATATCTTCCATTAAGCCAGCGCACAACACACTGGCTATCCCCACGGAGCTCCAAGCCATATCCACCCCCTTCCCCACGCCAAGTGGTTTCATCATCATTTATCGCGGCCAGTCGTTTCGCCACCCGTTCATTTTCCCGTCGTTGCTGCTCCTCAGACTTCTCCTCCCCCTCCTCCTCCTGCTTGAACTCACCCGTGAAGGGATCCCGAAGAAGGCAGAACTCGAGAAGATCATCCAAGTCCAGGGCGGCCAGGGTACCCACCAGGAAAGAACGCCAGCCAGTTTCATTCCAGACCATCGTGCGATCCCAATGAACCCCGCGCGTGTGCTCGAAGACCTCGAACCAAGGCCTGAGTCCCGTCAAGACTCGATGACGACAGGCTCTAGTAAACCTTCGGCCCCCAGGGAGAGCT